ACTTACCTCCACGTAGTGCACCCAAGACAACGTATACTCATACGGCAAAAAAGTCTATTAACTGGCAGTTGACCTCTGACTTTAAACTACCATGACTCACTTTATGTCATATTCGACCCCTTTCAAAGTACTCACCTAATTTTTTTTTCTGCCTTTGTGTCTGTTTCTTTTACATCTTTGAAACACTCTTCTCTTCCCTCCCCCCCCTCTCGACTTTTTTCAATTTGATGTTCCTTCCCCTTTCTGTGAAGCCTGAAATCAACTAAAGGGCTAATGATAACTACCAAAACGCCTGCCATTTGATATAAATAAATTTCTTGGACTAGTGTTAATTATTGAACATATTATATGTATAAAGCGTATTTTAACCGACTAGTGAAATTCAGAAATAAGAAGGCAAACTTCAAAGGTCCACATCTGGTGTAATTTTAATTTAACCGCCCACCCCTAATGTTAATACACGAATGAGTGCAGCACTCCCACATACATCAACCCATGACTATTTTAAGTCTATAGGTAACAAAAGTAATTCAGGCTTCGTGAAAAACTTTAAATTCCATGACGGCTTTAGCATTTTCAACTAAACCAAAAAGCATAACTACTCCGATCATTTGGTTAATTTGAATGAATTATCATGTGAATGACCTCTCAAAGAGGGTTAAACATTTATATTGTACAACGTGTGTGTGGTCTGATTGATAGATTTACATAAATTAATGTAATTCAAATATGCTCAGATTAACATCCTATAGCACTATGCTATGTAGCTTTTAAAAAATATAAAAATTAACCTACTCTCTCGGATTAATGAACTAACCATTAATTACACACTGGTTAGTTTTGAAATTGTAAAATTCGCACAATTAGGCATTTACATCCATCGTTGATATCACGCCATATTATATTGAATGCTGCGGGCATATAAACAAATAACTGACCTTAAAAGTTATAAAAAAAATAATTTTCGAGATAATTGCCAATTGTTGGATTCTCTTAACACCAGAGTTCAAATTGTGTTGGCACTAAGCTTTACTAAAGCAATAGTACTTAGACTAGCATTAAATGTCTGAACTTAGGCTACCAGGTGAGAACTTATATCAATCGGAAAAAATTGTCAAAGATTATTATTCTTCTAATGGCTATACGGAGACAGATTTGAAAGCTTAAATTTGCCGGAATTTAGGTATTTATGCTGTGAATTGTATTAATATAGTGTAAAACCATCAATATTCAGTTGAATCAAGACGGTTTCCCCTCCATTACCTGGATCGATTTACAAACCAACCGGTATGATAAGTAAATGTACATCACTTAACACCAATAATGACTAAGCAGGTTGAAATTTTGCTTATTAATAGTTTTTATCTTCAACCTGATAAAGGAATTAGTATACTACTTAAATATATGATGATACTATCTTAGTGAATTGCTCAACGACAATAAATATACCAAGGAAAAAAGTCGCAAATCGGATCATTTTGAAAAGCGCCATGTGAATATGGTAGGTTTGCGGATGGACAAAAAAAACACCTAGAAACCTCAAACAGATGTGCTCAAATCAAAAATGAAAGAAATGAGGTTAAGTTTGTGAATAATTACATTCCCCTAAAAAGTAATGGCAATAAATAATAGGAAATCGACAGTAGACCCAAGTCGTGAAGGAAAAGTGAAACATGGTAAAAGCATTAATGCAAGTTCACAAGTCGGATCTTAATGACACTATGACGTTTAATCAATTTTAATATTTTCAGAGGATTAAGATTGCATATCTCTGCTAGAACACAATATGCCATAACTTACCTCAGTCATATCTTGGTAGAAGTGCTGAAAGCTTAGTGAATTTGGGGTATTCCAGGATTCCCTAAAAGAATCTAAAGGATCGGTGGAGACCTGATCTTGCTTTAAATTGGCTATCGTCTGTTCCAGCTCTGATTTGCTTCCAGGATCACATAAAGCTTCCGTCTTTTTGTCATCATTAATGGAAATTGTATCGACCATTCGAACCGTATTACTCTTAGATATATCCGCAATAGCCTCATATTTGGAAATGAATTGATTTGATTGACAGAATTCCTGGTGCAAATGACTAACTTTCATCTCTTGCAGGGCCTGTCGAAAACGTTGAATGTATTCCTCCACGTTTGTGCTTGACACTGACCAAGTGGAAGGGCAATCAAAACCACCATTCTTTGGAATCGACGCCTCTTCTGTGCCGATTTCACTGAAACGATTTCTCAGCAGCAATGAACTGACAGAAGATAAAGTGGCCGTTGAAGCTAGACTAACTGCATCATTGTTCTCCATTTGTTCTTCATCATCTGAGTTTAGTTCCGAAACGTTTATTTTGCCGTTAATGCCTTCCGGATAATCAATATTTACTTCCTGAAAATCACTTATTGGGGATTCTAAGAAGATTGGCCCAATTAATTAATAACTTTTTACCTTCAAATACGGAAGGTGGATAAGAACAACCTGGTTCAGGAGATGAAACCATGATCCTAGAATAAGTGTCTGTACCCTTAAATGGGTAAATGATGAAATCTTCTGATTCTTCGTGATTTAAGACACTCAAAGATCCTGAGAAAAGTAAATCCTTGACATGCGAGTTCTCTAGATCCTTAACGGGAGGATTCGTCGTGTTGAAAGTATCTTTAGGTTCACTGTTCATTAAATTTGAAAGTTTTTGCTTGAAACGAGCGTTTTGAATATCAAGTTCTTCCAATTTCGATCTAATAGTGGCAAAAAGGTTTGATTTTGACGAAATATGAGGTAGTTAATTTGTTGACACAACATACTGAAGAGAATTTAAAAGGAACGAGGTATTTGTGGCCTGCAGCTCTGGATCTAATTCCCAGGAAACTGGAGAGTTTTTCGTTCGATTTTCGAAAGTGACATGAAAGGAATTTTCCATGATTGGAGGTTGATTGAAGACAGAAACTTCTTTTCCATTGGTAGTGCAATACTCTGTATGATTCTCCTATAAACAGGAATCAAATTACTGCAAATATCAAATAATGTAACCCCCCCCCCCCCTTGATAGATATTCTAATAAATTAAAGTTGAAGTTGTATAAAGGACCATCGCTCGGGTATTGTTTTAAATATGATTGAAATAGCATTAGACCCCAAAAAAACTAATATTAAAGGTATCTTTAACCAATTTTGTGGTAAAATAGTAAATTTCTCACCAAAGTGTACATCAAATGATCAATCTGCCAAGGATGCTAACCTAAAAGTTGATCAAAGGTGTCGATATAAGTCCTATTACAGCTCATTTTAATTGTCACATTCTACTTAACACCCTTTGTTTCCAAATAAAAAAAGGAATTTGTGAGATTTCCCAACGTGAACTATTCAACTTGAAGCCTACTTCCTCTTCAAGAAACTAAATGACTTATCAGAACAAAGTTTAGCATTGGGAATAGGGAATATGTGGGCTTAATGCCAACTATCCCCAGGACACGATTTTTCTAACTCCTTGGGAGAGAAGGTGTGTTTTGTTGATTAATCAATAGAAAAATACTCAGGTGTAAGTAGTATAGATCGATTCATAGCATAATATTAAATTATCATTGGAGCTGGTTTAGGATAGTTTTCACCCACGCACACACACACACACACACACGTGTTTTAGACCTACATCTATTGAGTTTCGGAATTAAAAAAGTTAGCTAATTTCTAATCTTGAAATATATTCTGCATGTGATATACCTTAAAAAGGTAAAAGGTCAACTGTATAAGAGTCTTCTCAGTTCTCATGCTTTAGCTTGACCTGTGAAATTCAAAGTATGCACATTTGTATGAATAAATTGAAGAAGGCGGTAATTTACCTCAATCTCAATACTCTTATTAGGGTTCAGAAGATTTTTCAGTCGGGGACAGAGAGAAGCGTTCATTGGATTTTCTTCCTTATCTCCTAGTGGATAGACGCCAACTAGAATTTGGCCTTTTGAATTTTCATGTTCATCATAGATCTCGTACCAACCTCGCACAAATTCAAGGCCCACTGAAGAGCTATTAGATGAAGAACTCGGTAACGATATCGTAGAAAGTGGAATTTTAGCTCTTCCCAAGTGACTCAATTGCTGATCGCCTTGTGTCCTCTGCCACACATCCACGGTTAGAGCCTATAGAAAGAGAGTACTACTTATTAAAAAGATAAGTAGTAAAAAAATTCCACATGAAAGGAAAAGACGCTCACTTTAGAATCATCATTTATGAGGGAGTAAGGAAGAAGTGCGTAACGGTAATAATTCCAGACCGGTTCTAATCGATTGAGAACAGGTGGAGTAGTCACGGTCCTATGAGAATTTTCTGTTGACGGGTTCTCACTGGCTACCACAAATGTTGCAAAAGATTCCAAATTTTCAATATTCTTTAATCTAAAATTAACACGCGCTAACTTAAGGATCTTGATAATGGCGTTAGGGAAATGAAATTAAATGGAAAGAAAGAGGAAAGAAACTTCAATCTATTAATACACACATTTAAGTTAATCACAAATTCGTCGCAATATTTCCATTAAATTATACAAGCAATGCATCGATCTGCAACAGCCCATATTTCATCACCGGGGTGTGCGATAGACTTACCTCCACGTGGTGCTCCCTGGACAACGTATTTTCTTACGGCACAAAAGTCTATTAACCGGCAGTTGACTCCTGACTCCAAACTACCATCACCCCACTGTATGGCAAATTCGACTACTTCAACCGTACTCACCTCACCTTTTTTCCAACTTTGTGTCTGTCTCTTTTACATCTTTGAAACACTCTTCTGTCCCCCCCCCCCCCATCTGGACCTTTTTCACTTTGATGTTCCTTCCCATCTGTGAAGCCTGAAGTCAACTAAAGGACTAATGATAGCTATCAAAACGCCTGCCATTTGATATAAATATATTTCACCACCACCAATAATGCTAAGGTGCTCATCAAATGCATTTCATGCAATTTGACGTAACCTCTCTAAGCTTAATCGAGCCAACGATATTTTCAACCCAGTAGGTTTAATTTGGCCAGTTGAGACAAAATTACGCAACCAAAATCAGTTTGTTCATGTGATATGAGCCAGTACGATGCTGAGAAGAATCTGCAAATCACTGACTTTTTTCTCCGAATTAGGAAAATAAACACGGTCAATTATTTCAGGAAACATGATATCAGTCGTAGACTTTTTTTCAATCTGAGTAGAGGCATGAAGTCTCCTTGAAGGAGTTCACAAAATTTCAACATTTAGTCGAGATGTCGAGATTCATCTCTGTTGCTTTTAATCGAAATGACGGCAATAAGAGGGGGCCTAGTGACTTGACCTTGGTCTGAGGTGGCCATATCATTTGAAAATAGCATTTACAGTCGTTGAGACGGCAAAATTAATTAATACTTCAAGCCAACGCCTCATAGGCTCTGTATTGATCATTCACAAAATAGAAAGCTTGACAAATGAAAGGCCAAAATTCAAACCTTCTTTGGAATTTAAACGAAAAAAGATGAAATACACAAAATAAATACCTTTCTCGTCAGCGAACAGCATGTAAGAACATCGACGTAAATATAATTAAAAGAATTGAAAATACTTATAAGTAGGTCAATTAACAAATCAATTGATATATAAAACAGTGTAAAATTAAGGAGACACCGCTACCTGACTCAAGTCAATTGCTGCTGATGACCAAAAGCAAATTTTAGATCGTAATCTTCACTTACCTTGACAAAAATTTATTCAATTATTTGGATATGGACCAAGAATGAAGTAAATATTGAACCTTTCGAATGCTAAACTTACATAGGGCAAAAAAATGTTGATAGACTTAATTATTTTAACTATCTCCTAGACTACCACCTCTGTACTCTTGTCTGAATACAATAACTTTTGTTGAGTTACAGTTGCTGCTGTTGCTGATACTGCTAAGGAACTCAAAATCAGCAGACATGGCATGAGTGCAAACTCAAGAGATTAAGGAGAACGTGGAAGAGAGCAAGATCTAGAATCTTCACTTACAGCTCTAGCGAGCGAATTCTAGGGAAAGTGGCAAGATAGTCACTTCCCAATCACCTTCACATTCTTTTAATACCTCATACTTCGCTTTACCATCTTCATTACTTTTGCATAACTTTGGGTACTTCCATTGGCTTTTGTCTTATCCATAATAAGTACTGGAATAAACGTCTATCTTAAACAGCCTTCTGAGAAGGGAAATTTTTATGACAACTAGTTAGCACCTGGCCCTTTCTCCTTAGCATCTTCACTACGCAACTTCAACTCGATTTCATTTCTCAATTAAGGGCATTTGTTTAATGCGTTATTCATATCCTGCACTAGGTGTTTCTTCCAAAGTGCTCTTAACTTGATAGAGACAGTGCGTTGAGAAAGAGCATTCTAAAAGGAATAAATTGTGAGATCAACTTACGAAGAATCGGGTGAAAGTCGATTGGCGCGTTCAATGACCACATAAACTGGGAACGTTTCTGTGCTGTGAACTCCAGACTGTAGAATTCTCGAGGAAGAGGTTCGAAAATAGTCTTCTAAGTACCAGACAAGAGCACCTTCTGCCGATATATTCCCGCCAATTCCAATCCCAGTCTTAAAAGATATTAGATAAACCTTTATAAATTGTGGATTAGAGCGATATTTTTAGCTAATTAATAGAAGTAAATAAATATAGTGCGCCCATCTAAATCTCTATTGATGCATGCCCATCCTTTGTGAACCACCTCTTCCATCTACGCCTGCACTGAGGCCTATTCATTCTCGCCCACAATCCTAATCTCCCACCTCTAGTATTATAATCGAATTGACTCAGATGCTTAAAGAGGATATTGATAGATTAACCTAAGACTAATAGCGTAATACACACTAATCAATGAATAATTTTTAATAAAGTAGGAGGATAACAGGTGAAAATACATTAGAGAATTTTGAAATTAAAGCTAATTCCATGTGCAACACTTCTGGCATTCTATGAGGAATATTTTGAAGAAAAAGATTATTTCAATTTGAATATAAGTGAGTTGTAAGTTAAGTGTCACCCAACAAGCAACGGATGTCGCGGGCAAGAATTTGTTTAATATTCCCGTAAATGATTCATAAAATTCAAATTTTGGTACAGGAATTTCTGTACAAGCAAAGTTTGTACATTCAATCGAACTCAGACATGACTTTCTACATTCTTCGAATCCCCTCTCCCTTATTTAGCATTTGATTTACTCCCCAACCAAATATCCATAACTTGTATGCAGTGAAGAAGAAGGAATAGAATTGTTCGTACTGTTGTGGGAAAAAAAAATCCAGCCCTTTGGCTATCAAAGAATATTTAAAGACAAATCTGTACTCTATTATTGCTACTTCACCCCGGTAAATGTGAGTAAGTTCATGTCATTTCTATACTACTGTCTACTTAGGTAGACAATTGACCTGCTTTTAGAGAGAGTGAAGTTTTAAATCTTCTGGCTCTGAGCTGATATGGCTCATATAACTCTTAATGAGCAGCAAGCAAAAATATTCTTTTATACCTAAAATTCCAAATAATTGACATTCACAATTACATTTCAGGATCGTAGCTTTAGCTTTAACTGAGAAAGGTACCGAAAAATGGTACAACCAACAAATTCGATGGGGACTGGAGACAATAGAAAAGAAAATGACGAGCAAATGTTTGTTTGACATAAAGAGAAACTTGGTAGATGGAAATAGGAATTTACCTTCCACATAAGTCATATCAATTGAAAATTATCCGTTTAATCAAACTAAACTCGAAAACTAATCCCATTAAGTCGATCGTTGTGGATAAATGATAACTATCATTTCAATTTTTTCCCAACTTTTCAAGACTTAAAGGCTAACAATCTCACCCTTCATTCTTGCCATTCAAATTCCTTTGATGAAGATATTTCCGTTTTTAAACAAACTGCAGGCGGTATGGTTGACTCAATTGGTTCTGAGAGCTTCGTCATTAATAGTAGAGCTTTTATTGGATGACACTTCTTAATTACCTGCTTTAATACGTTTTAAGTCTATATGGGAGTTTCCATAATTTAGGAAAAAACGTCTAAAAGGTTGTTTGCGATACTGTAAATAAAAAGGTTAAAACTTTAAAGATAAATGGAATTGAGATCAAATTTGTAAAATGCTAAACGAAATCAAATCTGAATTGAGCAATTGGCGGAATCTCAATTTTCTTGAAAGAGAATGCGCATGCAGCCAATGAAAATTGACAAAGCTAGGTGGATTGGCATTGGAAAATATTATTTTCAATAAAGCGAAATATACCTTTGTGAGAGAGCGTTCTGCTCTGAAAGCGATCCAACACTCACTCACTACTGTGGAAGAAGGGAACTGAACCAGAGGATAAACTGGAATGCAAATACAATTGGAAACAGTATTCAATGGAACGTCATTTGATCGACTGCACCAGTAGAAAACCTGTTCAGAATCAGAGGGTGACTGAGTCCTAAATAGATGTGAGAGTGGGATTTGTAAAAACCCCAATAGTCGAGAAGTAGGATTTCTAAAGCATAACAATAAATTATGCTACTTAAATGAATTCAGTAGATGGATATTTCTCAGAAAGTGCCTTACTCGAATGTGATAGGAGTTTCGTTCAAGTTAACACTTGATAACCAGACTTGTATTTCCAACACTGATCCCTCAAAATCTGGCACGAGAAGGCTTTCAAAAGTAAGCGTATCCTGAAACTGATTTAATAATAAACATTAAATAGAATGTTTACTGGCTAAATAATATTGTCCAAAGTAATGACAACAAACCTTCACAATACCATAACCACTGTCCTTTGTAGTTTGTGGCAGAGAACGAGCGCTAGAAATTTTGGTAACAGGACCTAAAATGGCTTGAATGAAGAAGTGGCAATATAAGCTGCGTTCTTTATGAGCTGCCGATCCAAAAGCATCAAGAAGAGCTGATTGTGTTGGAAGACGAAGTAATTCGAAGTGCAAGGCGAATTGCCAAAAATCGTATGCTAAATACCAAAAGGATCAAAAATTTAATCTATTATTTAAATAATGCTTATTAAGGTCACTAAGAATAACTCACACGAATGAAAATCGTTCATAGTTCCAAGAATATTTGAAGTTGACCAACGTGAAGACAGATTGAAGCCTAGTGGGCGTGAAGATTGAATATCTCTGTGTGATGCCACAAAAAATATATCTTCTAGTATGTTTCTTTGAGAAGAATTGGCTTCGAAATTTGCAGATATTTTAATTGCTCCAGCAAGACGATAAGGCAACTCCAAATGGCATGACTCTGATAATTGAAATCCTGACGACTTCGACGTAGAGGACACTTGGAGAAGAGATATCCATCGAGGTGCAATTGTACCACTATTAAGTAAATCACTAAGAGGCAATCGATAGGTGGCTATAAGACCGCATCGTTCCTGTGGAAGCAATTCCAAACCGCAAACAGTATTGTAGTCTATTCCTAGTGAAAATATTGAGATGCGTGAATTGTTGTCAATTATTATTAATTAAGTTTAGGAGTATTAGAAATGACCATTTATGAACAAAGAGATAGATAAATATTGAAAAAAAAGTGAAATGAATTACTAAACCCATTCCCCGTTTGGTCCATGAGATAGACATAGGCTGCTTATCAACCTTAATTTTATTGTTAATATGTCCAACTAATTACGTCAGTCAGATAACGTAAGCATGAAAAAGAGTTATATAATGTGCGAAGAAAACACAGACATCTGGAAGTTCCCATTGCGAAGATAGAAGCTAGGAAAATTATTATCATACCATTGTAAGTAGGAACATCTCGGTATGGGGGAAATTGTTCACCACTCACCTAACTCTGTGTTCTACCTTATTTGGAACGGGGTGTGCGATAGACTTACCTCCACGTGGTTCACCCTGGGCAACGTGTACTCATACGGCAAAAAAGTCTATTAATTGGCAGTTGACTTCTGACTCTAAACTACCATAACCCCACTGGATGCCATATTCTACCACTTCCACAGTAATCATACTACCTTTTCTCTGCCTTTGTGTCTGTCTCTTTTACAACTGTAAACCACTCTTCTGTTCCCCATCCCTCGACTTTCTGTTTCTTTGATGTTCCTTCCCTCTGTGAAGCCCGAAGTCAAGTAAAGGGCTAATGATAGCTATCAAAACGCCTGCCATTTGAAATAAATAAATAACCTTATTTGGAACTACTATTTCCTTTTGCCAGCTTCCAAGTATTGCATTAGTTTCTACGACCTAGTTTTGGTTCTGTGGCTCCTGCATCTGCTTTTATTACCTAATTTTAAGTCGCCTAGTCTGTTTTGTACCCTTTAGACCACTCGATTTATATTCTCTTTCATGAAT